CAACGGCCAGTTCACGGAGATTAGTAAGCTGTTGGTGAAGTTCAGCAAAGGACGGAGACATATCTGCGAGGGCGACGCGCCAGGTATTCTCCTAACTTATAATGATGATGATGACGGCGACGACCAAGAAAGCAGTCCAGTTGAGTATTCTACTGATCACGATTGAAGCTGGTGCATCCACGACTACACCTACGAGCAGGCGTATTACCTCATCTTGGCATCGGAAGATATGAAAGAGCGTGTTTTACCGCTGCTGGCGGAAAACCGGGGGCGGGGTCACTGCCGGTTCGAACCCTTTCCCCCCCCCTTCCGGAAAACCCGAGGGGGTTTTTCACTGCCGGTTCGAACCCCTCCCCACCCCCCAGCTCATCATGAAAAGGGTAGGGGGGGGGGGGGGGGGGCGCTGCCGGTGCGACCCCCCCCCCCTTCGAAAACCGGGGGGGGGGGGGTCGCTGCCTGTTCGACCCCCCCCCCCCTTCTTCGAAAACCGAGGGGGGGGCGGGCAGTGGTGGGAGCGGCGGGGGCGGCGGGCGGTGGCGGCGGGGGCAGTGGTGAGGGGTCAGCGGGACAGCGGTGGGGACAGTGGGACAGTGGTGGGGACTGCAGTTGCGGGGACAGTGGTGAGGACAATGGTGGGAACAGCGGGGGCAGTGGACAGCGGCGGGGGCGGCGGTGGTGGGGGCAGTGGCGTGGGGAAAGGGGTGGGTGGGAACAGTGGGGCAGTGGAGGGTGCAGTGGTGGTGGAGACAGTGGCGAAGGCGGTGGCGAGGACGGCGGCGGGACAATGGGGCAGAGGCGCAGCGGGGGCTGCGGTGGGGGCAGCGGGGACAGCGGTGGGAACAGTGGGGCAGCTCAGTTGGACAGCGGAGGAGTCAGTGGGACAGCGGGGGCAGTGAGGATAGTCGGGCAGTGGTTGGGGCCGTGGAGAAAGTGGGGAGAGTGGAACCGTGGTGGGAACAGTGGTGGGGGCAGTGGGAACAGTGCGACAGTGGTGGGGGCACTGGTGGGGACAGTAGGGGCGGTGGTGGAACCGGCGGGGACAGTGGTGGTGAGGACAGTGGTGTTGGGAACAACAGTGGGGGACGTGGCTCGGGCGGTGGTAGGGGCTGGGAGTCGTTTGCTGGCGGTGAGTGTGGGTGGGGTGGTGGTGGGGGGGGGTCGAACGGGCAGCGACCCCCCCATCCGTTTTCGAAGAAAGGGGGGGGGGGGGGGGGGGCTCGAACCGGCAGTGACCCCCCCCCACCCCCCCCCCCGGTTTTCGAAGGAGAGGGGGGGGGAGGGGAGGGGGGTGGGATTTTGCCGGGGGAGGGAAGGGAGGGGGGGGGGGGGGGGTTCTGAAGGAAGAGGGGGGCAATTTTCCACGGTGAAGCGGCGGTGGATCACGCTCTCTCGAAGATATCGATTACCTCTCTTACATGGTTTCAGGTTGCTCGGGCGGCACCTGGAGTGCCAATGTATTCCAAGCATGGTATTATCAAGAGGAGGGCGATGACGATCATGCTGATGATTTTGACGGCGAAGAAGCTCTTCTCGATGAGCCTCTCGACGGTCCTCCACATGGCCCGGCTTTCTACGGCAAGTACGGGCGACGCCGCAAAGACTAGGGCTACGGCAGAAACAAAGGTGGCTTCGGATATCGTCGCAGAAGTTCTGGCAAAGGCGGCAAGGGCAATAACATATCTCGACCGTTCGGACGCGGCAAGTCAGGTGGCAAGGATCGACGAGGACGCGACTATTATGGCAGCAAAGGCAAGAGCAAAGGCAAAGGCAAGAGAGAGCAAGAAAGGCACAGGTACTGGCTCAGGTGACCGACGTGGACCTGCGATGGATCTGCACCAAGGATTTGGACAACAGCAGCAAGCTCAACCATGATCTACTGCACGCAACTCAAGAAGTTCAGGGTCGAACGCTGGATGCGACAAGCGTGTCAGCGGGTGGCGCAGCGTGAAGGACTGCCCGGTCAACAAGGCTACTAGCAGGACAGGTTTATTGGTCGGGCTTGGCGACAACAGCGTGAAGGACACTGCGGCGATGGATATCACACTTCCAACGCCTCCGACTGCGACATCGGGCTATGATAGCATCATTCGACATCCAGAGGCAGTTGCAGAACGACAGCACTTGGCCTTAATCGAGGAAGAAGAAGCATGGATCGAGTAGGAGACCAAGATATGGGCTACTGAGCAGGACATCGAGGACTACGACGGCAAGGAACCCTGGTCTGAGCAGCAGTCAGATCTATGGCGAACGGCATTGCGACTTTCGGCTCGACCGGACTCAAGCGACGACGGCTCCTGGCAGAACATTTACATCGGAGCTGGTCTCGGGCGCTCGCGCGACAGTCTCTGACGACAAGCCGACGCAAGAACATGCATGCGACTTCGGCGAGGCGACGGTCCCGAAGTCTTTTCGGAGCGAGAAGAAGCGCGCCATGTTCGGGCTGGGCCTACCGACCCAGCAGCAGTATCCAAAACTACCTGCGGCACGATCGGCCAGCAGAGTGGAATCTAATTCCAGCTCGACCGACAAGAATGCCTCGGCTTTTGTCCTCGGCATTTTCAGCGATCGCGACGACACCTTCGAGGCGCGCCATCTTGTCCAGGGTCGACAGCGCAAGGGATTTATCATTGATCCTGCAGCAGCTTCTGGCATCTGTGGCACTGACACGTTGTTGCAGCACAACGGCAAGGACACGCAGAACTACACGACCCTCCCAGGAGCAGACAGCCTTACTTGCATTAGCGGCAAACCTACTACTGGGTTGGGACATATGGCACAGAAGGCTCAATGACCCCGTCTTGCGTTGGTCGGACATGGCGACCTTATCGGTGAGAGCGGCGCCAACTGCCCATTCTTGTCGCCGCTGCCTCCTCTGGTTCCTCTGGTTCACTACAGAGCTTTACTCGTGCATGGACTTACTGATGATGGCAATGGAGCTCTTGCGTTGGCTTCTGACAGCGACCCGTCGGACGAGCACGTGGTCAGAGTTCTTCTCGCGGACTACCTACTTCCGATGGCCGATCCTGAAGGTCAGCAGCGCGAGGAACCAGCAGTGTCAGCACAAATGGTCGAGATGCTGATGCACGCGGTGAAGAACATCAACGCTAAGATTCTTAAGACTGATATTGCGGCTCTCGTTTGCTCTTGCACCCGGGAGGACCAGAGATCACCTCCGCGAGAGACACGGTCCATGACATCAACATCAACGGCACCAATTGATGGCAGGATGCACCAGTGGACCTCGCACCGACCAACGCGGCTACATTTGCAGGCGCAGCAGAAAACCGCGGCATGCTTCGCCGCTGGGGCGGTCAAGTCTACATGGAGGACAGCTTCCCAGACTATTCCACCAGCGAGCGCGTGGCATGGCTGAAGCAGGCTACGAGGTCGTGACTCCAGGCAACGTCGACAAGTGGTTCCACATTCACCATGGTCTCTAAGTAGTTTGGGCCTTTCCAGAGCAATGGTCTAGATCAGGGCGACTTTCTTCGTCTGCAGCGAGGTCCGGACTCACAGTGCTCTTTCCAGTCGACTACCGCTTCGGCTGGGACCTCATGAATCCCGATCACCGGAGGTTGGTAGGCAATGTTCAGGCCGTCTTCAAGCCCATCGTGCAGCTTTCTTCTCCAGACTGCAGGCCATGCATGGACGGCCGTGGGCAACGTGCGAGGAGCTGGAGTTGCAGCAGCCGAACGACAAGCAGAGTTTCCAATGTTGGAGTGGCTTCGTCATGATAACGTCGTTCAGGATTGAGACGGACATGGCTACGTCAACGAGAATGGTCCACGCTCGCAGCTCTGGGCGCAGTCACCACTGAAGCAGAATCAGGACATCGTCAGCAACAGAACTCGACGAATTGACGGTTGCGCTCGCGGCTGCGTGAACCAAAACAACGAGCCCTTGGAAAAAAAAAAACCCACAGGCTCGACTCCAACATACAGCTGAAGAAGACCATCCGACGATGCCCTGGTCATGGAGTTCAACGACATGCAGTTGTCGAGGTCTCAGTACCGGGCTCGGGCTCCAAGACTGCAGCGTTGACTACAGTGTGCGCTCGCACGATGTGCCAGGCACTCATCAGTGACATCACTTCTTCCGCGCGCGAGGTTACCTGCGCCCTGATGTTGGCGACGCTCGGCGACAGCCACATCGACGTGCACCACGGAGGCCCGATCACAGACGCAGTGCGAGTTCAGCTACTTTACACTCGGGCGACGGCACCTCAGCTCGGCAGCGACGGTGCTGCGGCATATGACATCACCGCGGTCACCGATGGCTTTCTTGAGCCTGGGCAATGGCGTGGGTTTCGTACCGGGCTCAAGCTGGCGCTGCCAGCAGGCACCGCTGGCCAGTTGCGGCCTCGGTCGGGCCTGGCGTCGAGGCAAGGTCTCGGCATCGAGGGGGGAGTTGCCGACGCTGATTACAGAGGTGAGCTCAGCGTGATATTGGAAAATCGTGGCAAGTCCCGCTTTGCATGCCAGAGCGGCGACAGGATTGCCCAGCTCCTGATCGTGCAGACCCAGACCCCGCCAGTGCAGATCAAGGAACACATCGACGAGGACGAGACAGAGCGTGGCAAGAACGGCTTTGGCATCATTGGACTGCACGCGCAGGTGAATGACACAGAGGCTTTCTGGGGCTGCCCTCAATGCAAGTATGGTGGAGAGCGTGAGCGCAGCAGGATCTCTGGAAACTGCAAGCTGGCGCCCAAAGCAGATCCCAAGCGGACGTCGACACGACCAGTTGCCAAGGCACCCGCAGCAGAGGCAACGGCAGCAGCACCAGCGGCGTCAGCTCCACCTCGACAGCGAGCACCACCGGCTACAGCACCCGATCCACGACCATTAGAACATTTGGAAGAGAATATCTTCCAACCGCCACCTAATTCGGCTTCTGCATCGAGGTCTGCAGCACCAGCAGTAGCATCAGAAGCAGTTGCATGACCTACGACGCGAGAAGTACAACCAGCGCAGCGACCAGTTAACGGCACTGTCAAGATGATGGTGGCCTACGTCCAGCTGCGGCGAGTCAGAGTGAACGACTTCACCATGAACGCACACGAGCAGCTGAATAATCTCGATCAGACGTGGTTGGCTCGCATCTTGGCAGGTTTAGCAGGACAGCGCACAGGCGTACTCACGGCGCCGAGCGCTCAGCAGCAGCTCGACCTGGGCGACGACACCGACGGCACCGCTCAGATGTTGATCGAGTCACTTAGACCGCTGGTGGACGTCGACTCTCTGCGCGTCACTTTTCAGCCGAACAGTTTGGAGACATCAGACACCATCTCGATAGACGACAGCCCATGTCGAGTGGTCTTCCTCGGCGCAGACATTGACACGTGGGAGTCTCCGGCACTGGAACGGCTTGATGGACTCACGCCAGCACGGCAGCAACATGGCATTCGCGGACATAAGTGGTTCATCGTTGCTGAAGGTCATGCGCCGCCACCTACGATGGAGGAAGATGCTGAACGGAGGATCCAACCGAGGCTCAAGCTCATCACAACGCCTCCGAGCTTCGACTTCACCTAGCTACGGCAACAGCTGAAGGAGACGGAGTCCGATGCCGAACGCTTTCGCCTGCTGAAAGGTCTTCATGAGCGACTATGGCATGAGCAGCTACCGGGCATGGAGAAGTTCTTGCGACGACTTGGTGTACCGGACAAGTGCCTGGAGCTGGCTCAACAAGTGGTTGCAGCACGCGAGGAGCGCAACGACTGGGCACCCATCGCCAGCAAGCCCAGATATCGAGCAGAGCTCGCAGGATGGTTCGGCGACTTTATGGTGTGCGACCTCTTCTTCAGCTTCGGCAAGTCATTCTCACTCATGGTCGACGAGGCTATCAGATGGACGATAGCCGAAATGCTACCCAAGAAGGACGTGTTCCACATAGCCCAGGCAATGCTACGAGCTTGGTTTCGTTACTTCGGACCTCCTAAGTGCATCAAGTTCGACCAAGAAGGCGGCGTTCGCTCAGACGACTTTGCAGTGGTGTGCGATCGTTACAGCATGCACAGGCAACTGGGTGGCGCGGCTCGGACGACTCAGGCAAGCATACAGTCACTGGACTGGCAAAACGACACATCGGCCTCATTAAGACATCTTCTTTGAAGTGCAAGGCCAGCGCAGCCGAGCAAGGGCTCGTGGCTACCGACGAGGACATAGTGTTCGAGTGTACGGTGTGCCAGATCTTCATGCTTGAGTACGGCGGTTTCACACCATCTCAGTGCCTACAAGGACAGAATCCTCGTGGTTTCCTTGATCACGGTTCCAACTCCACTCTTGCCATCGACGGCGCTCGTGACTCTATTCCAGACACCTTCGAGTCTTACCTCAGGCCCAGAATGATAGCCAAGACGGCAGTTCAGAAGGCAGTCGTCGAGCAGCGCACCGCAGAGGCTAACGATACCAAGGTGCAGATCCTCTCAGACGTGGCAAAGCTACGACCACTACAGGACATTGTCGATCTGCATCGAGTTCCTGATCGAAAGGACGCACCCGGGTGGAGAGGGCCGTGCGACTTGCTGGATATCAACTTGAGGGAGAACGTGGCCATTGTCAAGCACCAGTCCATGCAATACATCGTTCTTCTCAGGCATGCGCGACCACATCAGGCACGATCGTACGCAGTCATGGCGGCGTGCCCGCCGACTCACATGCTGATAAATGGAGAAGGCACATGGCAGGACAACTTTCACGACGATATGCACACGACACAACAGGGCCTACATGACATGATTGATGGTCAGGCACGGGCACTACGATCACGGTTGGACTGGTTCACGACGCCAACGGCATGCAGATTGTTGTGCCGGACGACTTCGAGGTCAACGCTCCCGAGTTATTTCGTCGGGCCTCCCAAGTGGGCGAGGCTTTGTTGCAGCTGGCGGCTCCCAGAGCCATCAGGCTTGGCACTCAGCTACACAACATCAACACCTATCACGGCATCAAGCGAGGAGTCATTTTAGCATGGGTTCGACGCGATCGACTCAGCCATCAAGTTCGACAAGAGGATATGGGACATACTTTGCGACGGGCTACCATATTGTCAGACACGCCAAGCAACTACTCATTCATCATCTATGTCTCAGAGCAGCACGAAGAAATTACAGTCCAGGGCGCAGTGCCGGACCTGTCGGGCATCTCCAGCATCGAGCAGGTAGACGACGCGCCCTGGACACCTCCTACGCAATTTCTACCATCACCACCTTCGGCGGAGTGGTGGGAACCTCCAGGCTACGACAGCATAGCTATGGAGACTGATGATCATCAACAGCCTCCTCAGCCTCCAGGGCGACCACCGCAGATACCTCGACAGCCTGGGGTACCGCGGTCGGCCTTCCCGCTGACTGATCAATCGCCGCACATGGACAGCGCCCTCGAGACAGTGTCGAGGTCAGGCACTTCTACTTTGGCGCCACCTGCGCCTCGTCGACCTCCTGACGATCGTCCAGGTCGACCAGTGCCAGAAGGCGGTCAAAAGCAAGCTGTGGCGGCAGATCATGATATCAGCAGATATGATGAAGAGCGTGTTCCGCGAAGTCCAGCATCTCGTCGAGTACCGACCTCGCCTATGGCCTCGGCACCACCTCGTCAGGTGCCTACTGCACCGATATTCCCAGCACCACAGGCTCTAGCTCCACCGGACGGGCGACAAGTGGCGCTTCTTGACTCACCTCTGGGCATGGACGCATATCGCTCGGAACCTGCAGCACCTGAGCAACCACCTGCGGCGCCAGAGGCAGAAGCTCGTGAATATGATGACGACCGATCTCGGGCACAGACACCCACCTTGAAGCGCGGCTCTACCTCGAAACTCAGTCCACGACTGAGGGCCGACGGTGATTGGATACGAGAACGACGAGATCGGCGCGTCAAGTTCGACAACCCCGACACGAGCTCAATCCCAGCACCTGCGAGTGACCCACAAGCGGCAGCACCGTCGTGCGAGCAGGGCCCGGTGCTACCTATTACTGAAGCAGCGCAAGATGAAGGTACCGACTCAATCGGCCACCATGATCGGAACAGATTGTGTAGGCTCGACAAGGACCCACGGCAAGCACAGGGCACGGCGGAACAACCTACTATTGAGTATCCAGCTCGGCCAGAACAAGCACAAGAAGCAGTTGATCAACCTGCCATTGAATATCCACTTCGCTTTGATCAAGCAGCTGAAGCGGCCGAAGCAGCCGAGCCGACGCTGGCATATCCGCAGCAGGATGACGAGCGGTCCCGATCGGTTCATCTTCCAGTGCATCAGAGCTTCTCGGACGCAACCATAGAGCACCCACAGCAGCAGTCTCTAGAGGACGACGAGGGCAAGACCATCGACTCCAATCCTGAGCACAATGACAGGTCTCGGTCTACTCATGATATCCAGCGTGAGAACTTGCACTCTGGATCGTGTGGCGCGCTCTACTGCTCGGCTTGGCAGGCACCTACTTGAACACCACCAGCACTTCGCCAAGCGCGTTGATTTTGTTCCCGAATTCAAGGACTACGGGGGCGAGTATCGCAAGTCCCATGACGGAGCATCAGGCGCTCATTGCTGAGCACTTTCGCTCAGATGTTGAGGGCTTCAACCTCACCGACGGCGACGAACTACCAAGCAGCTGGAATCACAGTCAGGCAGACATATCCTTTGACGGACCTTTCCCTGAGGACCACTGCTTTTATCTCGACACCCGCACGGGCGAGTGTTTCGCATCGGCCGCGGACTCGCTCGTCCTGAAGCCAAGCGACGCGGTGGAACATGTTGTCCTGGTCGAGGCAGCAGACCTCAAGGATATCAAGCAGTTCGGCGAGTCTACCGTGTGGAAACCGATGCCCATGAGCAAGTGCAAGCAGGATCCAGTTGATTGCGTCTGAGTTCGCAAGTGGAAGTAGACCAAGGTTGGCAACGAGATGAAGTTGATCGTCAAGAGCAGACTATGCGCTAGAGGCTTTCTGGGCGGCCAATGCACCTCACTTTCGAAGCGAGCTACTACGGCGACTCGGTTGTCACAGCGGCTTCTGGTCACGCTGGCAGCGATCTACGACTTCACCATCGAGAGCCGGGACGTCACTGGCGCATTCCCGAAGGGCCTACCTTTCAAGGACATGTATGAGGTCCTGCGCAAGCGCGGCATCAAGACCCTAGAGCGGCAGGCGCGCGTCACTCCACTTGCCAATGTCTGGAGACACCTGAGGAACATCGATCCTAAGACGTTCCACGTTCCCTCGCTGCAGCGCAGTCTGAACGTGTGGGTTCTGGAGCGTCTCAATGCGATGTACGGGCTTAGCGGCGCACCTCTGGCATTTCATGTTGTCATGCAGATCTTCATGACAGAGACGTTTTTTGGCGGACCCTCGGCGTTCGACGATTGTTTCTACTTCTGGATGGAAGCTCCAGGAGAACTCGAGGCGATCGCGACATTCCACGCGGGCGAGAACAACAACGCGAGCAGCAACGAGTGGTTCGACGCATCCTACGTTAAGTGCTCGGACAGATTTGAAGGAGCCACGCGACAGCAACCACCAATCAATCATGTGGGAGTCAGACACGAGCAGACCGACTTTGGCATCCGAATGTCTCAGGACGAGTTCTGCCAGAACCTTCAACCAGTCCCTCTCGGCAAGGTTCGAGCAGCTCAAGACAACTCACCACTCACAGCGACGGAGCTCAAGACATTCCGTGGACTCTTAGGCGGCCTGCTGGGGCTATGTCAGACACGACTGGGCGCGATTGCAGATGCGATTCTCATCCAACAGAACAAGGCATCGGCAAATGGTAAGCACATCAGGATGGCCAACACGCTGCTAGCTCGCGCGAAGAAGCACGCGGCAAACGCGGAGCTCTACGCCCCGAAGATGTTTCCACCATTTGTGATGGACACGGTGGCGGATTCAAATGGAGCTACCTCCAGAAGCTCTTACGGTCAAGAGGCAGTGATTATTTTGTTGGGTTCGGACAGGCGCGCGCAGGTTGCGGCAGCGACATCGGTCCACTACCGCCAGGTGTGCGACTCCAAGGAGCAGCTCAGCAAGTTCTGTCACAGCATAGCTTCGCTGTCTCATAAGGCCAAGAGGGTCTCAGGCAGCACATCACGGGCAGAGACGTTAACAGGCGTAGTTGGCAAGGAGCTCGCTCGGATGATTGCCATTCGACTGGCGGAGTCGTTCGCACCGGGCATCCAACATCCTGTACATGGACTCTACATGATGGCAGCACGATGGCACAGCTGACGCAGATTTAAGACAACGCTGAGTTTGCAATACCGATAGACCATCGGACAGATTGCAGAGACTTCTTCGAGCTCAAAGTCGGCCTGAAGGGCGTGCCTCAAGATCGGCATCAACGGCTGTATGTACTTTCGGTTCGAGAAGATCGGTTACGCGGCTACATCAGACGCTTCTTCTGGTGTCCTACGGCAGCCGTGGTGGCAGATGGGTTAACAAAGAGCATGATATCATATATTCCGACGACTTGTTGAACAACGGCTACTGGCGCGTGGAGACCAAAGGTATCGAGTGTCTGGCGGCGACAATCTACGCTCCAGCAGTGACACTGACCGAGGGCGACCTGGTCAATGTGAGACCTTCGTGGGCAGAGTCCCCTTCGGTGTGTATGGCGACAAGGCTGCAAGGCTTATAGTGAAGGCGCTGGGCGGCATTGAGACTCATTCACTTGAGTTCGCAGGGTGGCTTGTGGGAGCATTCGGTTTGTGATTATTTCTGTTCGAAGAGAAGCGACGGTGCTCTTAGAAGCTTGGCAGAAGGGGGGGTCTCTCCAATCGTGATATTAGTGCTGACCGACAGTGTACATACGGTCGGCACGCCATGGAATTATCTCCAGAATTGAGCTCGATGGCCATTGTCGAGCTAGTTTACGCACTCCGCATCTATTTGGATATGGTCAATGACCGGACGGGACGGACAAGATGGAGTTGCCGTCCGACAACCGCTTCTTCTATTTCGATACGCTGTATATCGATTCCTTCATGTACCCGTAGGGTAGAATGATTGCGTTACCCTCTTTGATCGGGTCCGAGGAACGGTAACACCACTTTTTCCTTGATTTTAGAGGGTTCCTTCTTACAAGCCAGGAGGACCATAATCATATTTTAGGTAGTGCGCAAACATGTGTATAGCAGCAGGTAGAGCAGCATGGAGAGAGATGTTCGTTCCATAGACGTCTTAGGTCAAACCACCGTAATCGGATTTCCCCCTTCCCCCCCTCCCCCGTCCCCCCCCTCCCCTCCCCCCTTTGCCCTCCCTCTGCAAACACGCAATCTGAATACTACTCTCTTCTCTCCCCTTGCGACGTCCAGGAACTGTCCGGCCCCCCTCCGCCGGATTCCCGGGAGTTAGAGTTTCGCTTTGCTTTTTTCTAGTACTATTCTCGCTGAAGCGTTGGCGTCATTTTCGGGTTACCGCTCGTTCCGAATCGTGCTCCCCCTGCAGCGCTGGCCTCATTTGCCCTTTCCGCTCGTTCCGAATCGTGTTCCCGCTGCAGCGCTGGCGTCATTATTTCCGAGCGCCATGCCACGGCGCATGGTTGTCGGTCCTTCAAAATAAGGCCCACAATCTGGAAAGTGCCCCCCCGAAAAAAACAACATCGGAAGGGATTCCGCATTCCGTGCCGATCTGTTGATTTTTTGGGTTCGCAGAACCCCCCCCATTTTGGGGCGACGCCACACCAGGCTGTGTCAGGCTACGCGTCCTGCGAATCGTGCTCCCGCTGCAGCGCTGGCGTCATTTCTTCGCTTCCGCTCGTTCCGAGTCGCGCTCGCGCGCTGGCGTCATTATTTCCAGCGCCATGCCACGGCATGGTTTCGGGTCCTTCGAAATAGACCCAAAAATCCAGAAAATGCCCCCGCCTCCCCGAAACAACCATCGGAAGTGATTACACATTCGGTGCCGATTCGTCGATTTTTTTGACCGCAGACCCCCCCCTTTGGAGCGTCGCCACGCCATGCTATGTCAGGATACGCGTTGATCTTCAACACCATCCTTTGCCATGACATGCTGTGCTCTGCCACGACATCCGACTGTGCGACTAGAGAAAGGAAAGCTACGCCATGGTAAAGGATGGGAGGGACGGCCAGGATGTCAGATACGATGCGAGCGCACCTAGCTTGCCCTCCTCCTCCTCCTCCACCCCCTCCTCCTCCTCCTCCTCATGCTCCTCCTCCTCATCCTCCTCATCCTCCTCATCCCCCTGCTCCCCCCCTCCTCCTCCTCCTCCTCCTCCTCCTCCTCCTCCTCATCCTCCTCCTCCTCATCCTCCTCATCCTCCTCATCCCCCTGCTCCCCCCCTCCTCCTCCTCCTCTTCCTCCTCTTCCTCCTCCTGCTCCTCCTCCTCCTCCTCGTCGTCGTCCCCCTCGTCGTCCTCCTCCTCCTCCTCCTCCTCTTCCTCCTCCTTTTCCTTCTCCCACCTTGGCCCTCCGCCCCCCTGCCGGGCCCGCCGAGGCCGAGCTCGGCACTCTTTTCACGCCCACGGTAAGGAGAGAGACGATGATGGTGACGAGAGGAAACGACGCACGTTTTACCCAGACCTCCTCGAGTCACGAACAAAAACACGACGGAAGGTTTTTCGCTGTGTTCGGTGTCCGTGGGCCTCTTTCCTGGACCTCGGGACCGTCAAAAAACGGCGAGGGATGCAACACCGGTCCCGGGGGATGGGTCCGGATCTCTGTGTGTCGCGTCATGAAAAAATCATGTCGTCGGGGGTTTGGGTACGCAGCGCACATACTACTCGAAAAGCCATGCTACCCATGCGCTCCCCGACAGAAAACAAGTAATCATTGCATGCGTGAAGCATGTGGAGAACTCCATTGGGCCAACATTGACGAGTGGGCTTGCGACACCAAAGACCGCAACCGTGTGTCACGCCGCGACGGGTTGTCGCCGCAGTACAGTTCCGAAGCCGCGTGCCGCAGTTTGACGCCGAGACCTGTAGTTCCCAGGTCATTGGGATCACTCGCTGCTCTCTTGCCTCTCCTCGTCCTCGTCCATTGCGTCATTATCCCCCTCCTCCTCCTCCCCCTCCTCCTCCTCCCCCTCCTCCTCCTCCTCCTCCTCATCCTCCTCCTCTTCCATGCGGATGCGGCCTACGAGCTGGCGGAGGCCCAGGCCCAGGCCCAGGAGGCGCTCGACGCTCTCCAGATGGCACGCCAGCCGAGTCACTCGAAGGCCCCAGCGGTTGCTGCCGACACCTCCATTTTAGACCTCACCAGCCTCCTCGAGTGATGCCACTCCGCCCGAGACGCTGTCCTCGGAAGGGGGTGATGAGACGGCCAACACCGTGGCTCGTGCTGACAGGTCGGCTTCAAGCGAGGTGCGGCCTGCAAACAAGGATGGTGGAAGCACGCCAGGTGCAGGTGGCGTGGCCGAAGCGAGTTCTGGCAGAGTCTGCGATGAGCACCCGACGGCGGCCCCACGCCAGCACATTCAGGACCAGCACCTGGGGGGCTCAGCTCTCGCTGAGCCAGCCGCTCAACCACCCAACGATGGGAACCCGCCAAAAGACAGGAATGGTTGTCCGTAGAGACACCACTCGGGCAACACGGATAAGGAGCCTACGGACGTGATCTCAGTTCCCCCATCGAACTGGCGCTGGACCATCACAGCAGGCCTCGGGCCCCTTCTATTCGAACATCACCGAGTGGGGGCCGCAGGCAGCCAGATGGGTCGCCTCCAAGGGAAAACGCTACCAGATGTTGGCCCTTGTCGAGACGCACGTGGGCGCCTTCAAGGCCCACGACGCGGCCCTCACCTGGAGCAAGGGCGACTGGCGAGTCTCCGAATGCGACGCTCTCCCCATTATGCGCTCGACCACTGGCACCACAGGAGGAGAGCTCATCCTCGCCCGCAAGCACGTCGCCTGCTTCACCTTCGACGGCCTGAGGCACCAGGCCCAAGTGACCTACGGACAGGACCCCTGCTGCGGCTTCGCGCCCACGGCTTGGCACCATAAGGCGGGCAATATCGTGGCCCTGGCCTTCTACGTGGAGCCCCACGACACGATCGCTGGCCCAGTCCTGGAACGCCTCGTGGCCCTCGCCGCGTTCCTGGCCATGCTGGCGGACCCTTGGATTGTCGTGGGTGACTGGAACATGAGCCCAGCCCGCCTGACCGCCCCGGGCTACCTGGGGGAGTGGGGAGGCACTATCGTCACCCCGCCAATCACGGCGACCTGCGACAAGGGCAAGGGCTCCCTCATCGACTACGCGGTCACCAAGAGCGGCTTTGAGGACTTCATCACGGTGCGGCCAGTACACGGCGTACCTTGGGGCACGCATTGCGGGCTAGAGATTGAGGCAGGCGACGCGAATCCATGGTGGTACAAATCACTTCGGCTACCCCGCCCGATGCCACGGCCGCCTCGCCCCGCCAACAGCCCGACCCCAACAGTACATCCAGCCAGCGACGACAACTTCGACTTCAGCGACGGCGCCGAGCGCTACAAGAGGAACGCAGAGATATATTCGACGAGATCAACGAGGCCCCTGAACCCTATGTCGACACAGCTACCCAAGGACCCCCTGATCCAAGCGTACTTTATCTCGTCCCATTGGATCTCTGGCAGACTCAATGGGGCACTACCGCGAGCGACAACGACAGCTGCCACGAATCTTTCGGCCACTGCATCCCAGGCCTGGGCCGCCGCGCTCCGACCTGAGAGGGCGAGGCCCTGCGCGCACCCGCGCGACCCCCTCCTGCAAGGGAAGGGGCCCTGCCCTGTGGGCGGCCGCGGGGAATCGCTGGCGGGCGAGCCCCGCCGCCGCAGTGCCCCTACATCACCATTGGCCACCAGCGCACTTCAGAGGACGACGACTGGGAGTTTGCCGCCGCAAGCCTTTCACCTGGACAGGCCGTCGCAGACCGAATCAGTCGAGAAGGCCCACGCCGCTTGGGTCAACTGCTACGAGGGCACCCTCATCGTCCACCAAGGTACTTCTGATGAACAACGCCACCCCTGCACCGGCAGGGGCGAGCCAGTGCCCTTTGAACGGCGACGTGCAGTGCCCACGCCTGGCCGCACCCACATCAAGAACGAGGTTGCTGAGTGGTGGGCCATCGCGCGTGCCCTCGCGCACAGGGGCCTCGCCCTCGTCAGGCACGCGAAGCACCGCGACCTCATCGACGACGTCGCCAGGCTCCTCCAGGACAGCCCCGCGGTCAGCAGCCAGCGCCAGCTCCTACTACCTCATGTGAGCGATGAAGAAGCCACGACCTGGACACGACGGGTCGCCAACTTCCATCAGCTGGACGTCGATGGGGCCTGTGAGCTCCGAGCCACCACGGACGCTTGGACATGACGCGCAGCTGCTAGGACCGCCCACCTTTCCAGGAAACAATAGGGCGGCTGGCCTCAGGACGCATGGCTCCGAGGTCACGCAGTACAAGACAGGCTACTGGAAGGCAGTCTGGCACACCCAGGAGACCATCCACGACGCACTTCAAGCACTACGGCGGGTACGAGAGAGGGCCGCGGAGGAGGACCAGGCCCCCATCGAGCTCCAGCACTCCACCCGTGTCTTGCACAGCATGCCGCCCAACATAGCGACGGGCGTGGACACAATGGGCCCCGGAGATCTTCTTCGCTTACCTGATGGGGCCCTTGATCAGTACGTTCGGTTGCTCAACTTCATCGAGACGCAGGCCCATTGGCTCCCGCAGGCGCATCTCACCATAGCGACTATGGCCCCCAAGCAGCTAGGCGGTGAACGCGTACTTGGCGTCCTGCTCAACATAGCTCGCACCTGGAGCCGCTTGAGGGCGGGTCCATGTGACCTCTGGAGTGAAGGGCTCCACGATTTTTGTGTACGGCCATGGAGGGCCCTCGGCTCTTGCCGCTGCGCTGCACAGAGCCTTTCTCGACGAATCCGCCTGCGTCATGAAGCTCACAGTGGCCACGCTGCTCATGATCTTGGAAAGGTTGTACGACCACGCCCACCTCGGCAAGCTCGTCGCGGTTGGCCTCGACGAGAACTTCCCCTCCATTGTGCTACTGATGGAGACCCAACTGTTCATTGCCCCCCCGTGTCCTTCGCTCGCGCGGCTGGGTGGGTGACCCAATTCAGGCTTGGCAAGGGATTGTGGCTGGCTCACCGAGGGGCACCACCCTGGCCAGGCTCGTCCTGCTCCCGATTCTCACGCATGCACAACAACGAGCTGAGGCGGCCACCATGTGGACCTTCGTCGGCGACGCCGTGGCGAGGGCCGAGGGCGCCGCCAAGGCAGTCCATCGAGCCATCCTTCAAGCTGGAGTTGCCCTCAAGCAGGCCTTGGACAACGCCGAGCTGCCCGTCTCGTCCAAGAGCGCCCTTCTCGCCAACAACACCAAGCTTCGATCTTCCCTGGCGGACAGGCTCCGCAGGGCTGGGCTGCCGCTCTCCACTGCTACGGAGGCCGCCGACCTCGGCATCGACACCCGCGCGGGCACGCGACGAGCGCAGCTGGAGGCAAGGAGCAGAGCAGCAGCAGCCACTTACCGAGCCAGGCGATTGGCACGCATGCGACGGACCGCCCACAGACACGCATTTCCCGCGGACTTTGGGCCATTGGAGCTCTTCCGCAAGGAGTACATGGACACCAAGCCCGAGGCCTCGCACGCCACGCCCTGCTCAGATGGAGGCGCCAGGCCGCCATTGCCACAGCGGGCCTGGCAGCTGGCCGCTGTCTAACCACTCTACTTGGAGCCAGTTTCGATGGTGCAGATCCAGGAGTACAACTTCGGCTGCAACTGCGTTGAGAGTGGCTTCACTTTTGGCAGGCTAACCCTCACCTCCACCTGCGCATACGACGTACGTGGACTCCATTCAAGCCGAAGTTGGTCAGGGTTGGCCCACGGATCTGGTCATATGTCACTGGGCCCATTGGAGCCGCCATAGCCACGCTACTCGAGGCTGGATGGCAACCCCACCAAGCGGACCTCTGGCAACGAGTGCGTGGAGAATACCTCGAGCAATGTACACTACCCAGGGATGGATGCGAGCTGGCCGACCTCGACACGCAGACCATCCCCGACGACCTCGCAGAGGACTTGCAGGGCAGGCTCTGGCAGGAGGCGGCTCGACATCTACATGGAGAGGGTCTCGAGCGGGGTGCGGACCTGCACGCCATCCGAGCAGAGCAGCGCCGCTTCCTGGCCAACGGAACAATCGCATCTTGGGCTCTCAATCTCTGCATCGTCTCGGGAGGCCAATGGCCCAAGCGCCGTCTTCAGGAGGCAGGATACCAGCTTAATGCAGTGTGCGACCGATGTAGCTCGGGTCACGTTGAGGACTTGGTCCGCCGCGTCTGGTTTTGCGAGGCCAACGCAGGCCCCGAAGTTGCGCAGTCTGCCCATGTGCGGTGGCATGCCATCGGCAAGACCCTGCCCTCTGGCTCAGAGGGCCCCCCCCTTGTCCCCCGCCTCCCCCGCCTTCGAGCCTCGGGGGGCGGGTGGGGGAATCGCCATCATTGGAGCCGACGCGGACCGCCTCTGGGAGGGCCACCATGACACAGCCTCGGGACGCCTCTTCCTCTCCGGCGATGGTTATGGAGGAACCTTCTCGGATGATCCCAGGAAGAGGAGGTGTGGCTGGTCAGTCTTTTCGGCGCTCCCTGACGGCCCTGGCTCCTGGAAAAGGGGTCAGGGTCTTTTCGGCCCTCTCGAGGGCCGTCGGCAGACTGTGCCGCGCTCGGGGCTCACGACAGCCGCCATCGCCATCGAGCGCAGCGTCGTTACTGATCACAAGCCGACGGTAGATGGTTGGCAGCAGGGTTGGGCCGCGCGAGCCCCAGGACCCTGGGCCCGCAAGTTGAAGAATCCCGACCTTTGGGCTAGGATACGCAGGGCCTTGGAAGCTGAACCAGGACGCAGTGTTGTGATCGATTGGACCCCGTCCCATCCCGATGAGACTCCTCATTTAGTTACTACACCGTTTTACGTTGCTGGCAATGCACTGGCGGATGCCAGGGCCTCACAAGGGGCTGATCTTTGGGACTCCCGCCGCGCTAGCCCAGCCCCCGACGCCGACTCCGTAGATGCCACTGCTGCCCTCGTTCGAGCCAGGCGTCGTGATATCTTGCATTCCCTCGGCCATGGCAACTCTCAGCGAGGGGAGCGCCCCTCCACGGCCAGAGCCCCACCCCCTCTGCCCGCGCGTTGGCGCTCCCCCAATCTTCCCACACATTCGAGCGCTGCCACCAGAAGTGGCGCTGCGAGGTCTGCGCCTCCCTGGTCGACGGTTGCAGAGTCGAGGAGGTGGCCGGGACGTCCTGCCCAGGCACCCCCCCCCTTCCCCCGATCCTGAGCCCAGAATGTGCGGGGAAGCTGTCGTCGTTGAAGCTGGCACCCGCGAGCTCCGAGGCCAAGTGGCCCACGCGTCGCACCGCCTTTGGGAGATCCCGAGGTGGCAACTCCTTTTCTGCACCACGCGTGGGGCCCACGGCACCTTCCAGTTCCGCAGCCTCGTCCAACCGTGCGGGGACCCCACTCCCAAGGGCCGTGAGGCCCTCAGTCGTATCCTGCGTGGCCCCCACCCCTCCCATACAGGCCCACCCAAAGTGGCTCTCGAGGCGGAGCGCAGGAACTCCGCCCAGAGGGCCCGCGAGAAGGTCCTAGAGGAGGGTAGGACGGAGGCGAACGGCGGAGAGCGGCTGGAGCGTGGGGGAGGGGGATCGGCGGCGCGCACGCTGCGCGCGGCGCATGAGCGCGCGCGCGGCCGCGACGTCCTCAGCATCAGTGAGCACGGCCGCCCCCCCCCACCCTCCCCCGCGCCCAGCCACCCGCCGTCGGCGTAAGCCCCTGCCCCCTCCCTTTCCTTTAGGACGTACCCTGTCCTTGGCACTCGCAGCTCGCAGCTCCTCCCCCTTCTCCTCCTCTTCCTCCTCATCCTCCTCCTTCTTCTCGTCCTTCTCCTCCTCTTCCTCCCCCTCCTCCTCCGCGCCCTCCTCCTCCACCTCCTCCTCCTCCTCCTCTTCCTCCTCCTCCTCCTCCTCCCTCTCCCTCCTCTCCTCCTCCTCCTCCTTCTCCTCCTCCTCCTCCTCTTCCTCCTCCTCCTCCTCCTCCTCCTCCTCCTCTCCTCCCCGTCCTTCTCCTCCTCTTTCTCCTCCTTCTTCGTTCCTCCTTCTCCTTCGCTTCCTCCTCCCCCCTCCTCCTCTTTCTTCTCCTCCTCCTCCTCCTCATCATCATCGTCCTGCTCCTCCTCCTCCTCCCCCTCCTCCTCCTCATTCTCCTCCTCCTCCCTCCTCCTCCTCCTCCTCCTCCTCCTCTTCCTCCTCCTCCTCCTCCTCCTCCTCCTCCTCCTCCCCTCCTCCGTCCTTCTTCTCCTCCTCCTTCTCCTCCTTCTTCGTTCCTCCTTCTCCTTCTCTTCCTCCTCCCCCCTCCTCCTCCTTCTTCTTCTCCTCCTCCTCCTCCTCGTCCTCCTCGTCCCCTCCTCCTCCTCCTCCTCCTTCTCCTCCTCCTCCTCCTCCTCCTCCTCCCCCTTTTCCTCCTCCTTCTCCTCCTCCTCCTCCTTCTCCTCCCCCTTCTCTTCTTCGTCCTCCTCCCTCTCCTCCTCCTCCTCCTCCTCCTCCTCCTCTTCCTCCTCCACCTTTTCTTCCTACTCCCCCCCCTCCTCCTCCTTCTCCCCCTTCTCCTCCTCTTCGTCCTCCTTTTCTTCCCCTTTCTCCTCCTTCTTCTTCTCCTCCACCTTCACAGTTACACAACATGACTACTACTCTCCTCTCTCCCCTGGTGGTGTTGGGGGGAATAGCTGACCCCCCTCCGCGTACTGATTGTGTTTTTCTCCTGCAGCGCCCCTGGTCGAGTTGCCAACCAACTGCCATATCACAGAAACAGCATAGCACGCACTTGAACAACGAAACTACTTGCAAATACCATGAAACCTCATTGTCTTCCGATCGGTGTCGAGCAAACGTTGTCTGATGGTGCCCAAGTTAAGTGTTCGTTCGGTTGTTCGTGTGGGCTTGTGCTTCAAAATGCTTCTCTCGCTGAAGCGCTAGCCTAATTTTCGGGCGATCGCTCATTCCGAATCGTGCTCCCGCTGCAGCGCTGGCCATATTTCCGCGCTTCCGCTCGTTCCGTAGCGTGCTCCCGCTGCGGCGTTGGCGTGATTATTTCCAGCGCCATGCCACGGCATGGCTTTCGGTCCTTCCAAGTAGGCCCCTCACTCTAGAAAAAAATGCCCCCCCTCGAAACAACCATCGGAAGTGATCACACATGAGGTGTCGGTGTGTTGATTGTTTGGCCTGCGCCAGCCCCCCTTTGGGGCGTCGCCGCTCCATGCTATGTCAGGCTACGCATCCTCATTTCGCGCTTTCGCGCTGAGTTTTTTTCAAATGCTGCTCTCGCTGAAGCGCTGGCTTCATTTTCGGGCTACCGCTCGTTCCGAATCGTGCTCCCGCTGCAGCGTTGGCCATATTTCCGCGCTTCCGCTCGTTCCGTAGCGTGCCCCCGCTGCTGCGTTAGCGTGATTATTTCCAGCGCCATGCCACGGCATGGTGTTCGGTCCTTTCATCTACGTAGGCCCCAAAATCTAGAACATGGCCTCCCGAAGAATTCATCAGAAGTGATTGCACATTTGGTGTCGATTTGTTCATTGTCTGGGGCGTCGCCACGCCATGCTATGTCATGCTACGTGTTGATCTTCGACACCATGCTATGCCATGTTATTCTACACCATATTACAACATCCGATTGTGCGAACAGAGGGGTGATCTACGCCATGGTCAGGGATGGGAGGGAGGGGTAGGACGTCAGATATGACGCGAGCGCACCTTGCCTGTCCCCGCCCCCTCCTCCCCCCCCCTCCCCCTCTCCCCCTCCCCCTCCTCTTCATCCGCCTTTCCCCTCCCTCCTCCTTCTCCTCCTCCTCCTCCGCCCCTTCCACCTCCTCCTGCCCTCCCCCTCCCCCTCTACAATTACTTAATATGAATACTACTCTCCCTCTTCCCCCGATGGCGGCCTGAAAGTAGTCGACCCCCCCCGCGTATTGTTTTTTACACACACAGGATTCCCGGGAGTTGGGTTTTCGCATGCGTTTTTTTTCAAAGTGCTGCTCTCGCTGAGGCGCCGGCCTCATTTCTGCTCCCGAATCGTTCCGAATCGTGCTCCCGCTGCAGCGTGGGCCTCATTATCGGATCGGTGTTTGGCCTCCGTCGTTCAGGATGGCGTTCTCGCCCCAGCGCGGGCCTCTTTCTCGCGCGCCCATCCGCCCGCCACCACCGCGCCGCACCACCACCACCACCACCACCACCACCACCCACCACCACCACCACCACCACCACCACCACCACCACCACCACCACCACCACCACCACCACCACAACCACGCACACACGCACGCACGCACGCACGCACGCGCACCACCACCCACTACGCACGCGCGCGCGGAGCCACAGGTCCGCTACGACACGCGTCCGCGGATAGAGAAAATCAGCGCCATGGTAAGGGATGGGAGGGAGGGGTAGGACGTCAGATATGACGCGAGCGCACCTAGCTTGCCCCCGCCCCTCCCCCTATCCCCCTCCTCCCCCTGCCTCGATCCTGCGACGCAAGCGCGCGTGCTCGCCTCCGGAAATGACCTTCCCCCGCCCCGCCCGCGGGCACGGCAGGTTCGCGCCGCTTCCACCCCGGCGGCGACCCGCTGCGAGGGCGCTCAGTGCCGAACGCCAGCAGGGTGAAGTCGGGCCGAACCAAAAGGGGGGGGGGATCGGGAGAGGGGAGGGGTGCGAAATCTGCTGCATGCAGCTGGTTTCGGCCCCACCGAGGGGCCCATGCCTCGATACATAGCCGCCTCCGGCGCCGGGAGGCGCCGGGGAAATCAGCTACGTGAGCTGATTCTCAAGCCCCCCTTTGCTATCCCCCTTTTCGCCCGACCCGAGTTATCCCGGCAAAGCAACCTAACAGCGACCTGAGCCTGTCCCTCCATAGGAGGAACATTTCAAAATATCCCGGCAAAGCAACCTAACAGCGATGTGTATAAGCATACTTGGAAGCATTCCCATTAATATTCAGGTGAGAATCCAGTCGCAGTCGCATTCGCAATCGCATTTGCATTCGCTGTTCTCGCAGTCGCAGTCGCATTCGCAATGACAGTCGCAGTGGCAACGGCCTTAGGATCCAATGGAATCCTCAGGATTCCTAGGGATTCCTAAGGCATCCTTAGGCATCCTCAGGAATCCACAGGAATCCTTAGGAAACCTTAGGAATCCTTAGGAATCCTGATTCCTATGGATTCCCAGGGATTCCTAAGGATTCCTAGGGAATCCTAAGGATTCCGAAGGATTCCCCTGCCTCGGCCTCAGCCTCAGCCTGCCTCAGCCTCAGCCTCAGCCTCAGCCTCAGCCTCAGCCTGTCTCAGCCTCAGCCTGCCTAAGTGTCAGCCTCAGCCTCAGCCTCAGTCTGCCTCGGCTTGCCTCGGCCTCAGCCTCAGCCTGCCTCGGCCTCAGCCTCGGTCTTAGCCTGCCTCAGCCTCAGCCTCAGCCTGCCTCAGCCTCAGCCTGCCTCAGCCGCAGCCAGCCTTAGCCTCAGCCACAGCCTCAGCCTCAGCCGCAGCCTGCCTCAGCTTCAGCCTCAGCCTCAGCCTGCCTCGGCTTGCCTCAGCCTCAGCCACAGCCTCAGCCTCAGCCTGCCTCAGCCTCAGCCTCAGCCTCAGCCTCAGCCTCAGCCTGCCTCAGCCTCAGCCTCAGCTGCCTTCAGCCTCGGCCTCAGCCTCAGCCTGCCTCAGCCTCAGCCTGCATCAGCCTCAGCCTCAGCCTGCCTCAGCCGCAGCTTGCCTCAGCCTCAGCCACTGCCTCAGCCTCATCCCCAGCCTGCCTCAGCCTCAGCCTCAGCCTCAGCCTGCCTCGGCTTGCCTCAGCCTCAGCCTCAGCCTCAGCCTGCCTCGGCCTCAGCCTCAGCCTCAGCCTGCCTCAGCCTCGGCGTCAGCCTGCCTCAGCCTCAGCCTGCATCAGCCTCAGCCTCAGCCTCCTCAGCCTCAGTCTCAGCCTGCCTCAGCCTCAGCCTCAGCCTGCCTCAGCCTCAGCCTGCCTCGGCCTCAGCCTCAGCCTCAGCCTGAGCCTCAGCCTGCCTCAGCCTCAGCCTCAGCCTGTGCCTCAGCCTCAGCCTCAGCCAGCCTCAGCCTCAGCCTCAGCTGCCTCGCCTCGGCCTCAGCCTCAGCCTGCCTCAGCCTCAGCCTCAGCCTCAGCCTCAGCCTGCCTCAGCATCAGCCTGCCTCAGCCTCAGCCTCAGCCTGCCTCAGCCTCAGCCTCAGCCTCAGCCTTCAGCCTCAGCCTCAGCCTCAGCCTCAGCCTCAGTCTGCCTTCAGCCTCGGCCTCAGCCTCAGCCCTCAGCCTCAGCCTGCATCAGCCTCAGCCTCAGCCCAGCCTGCCTCAGCCTCAGCCTGCCTCAGCCTCAGCCTCAGCCTGCCTCAGCCTCAGCCTCAGCCTGCTTCAGCCTCAGCCTCAGTCCTTCAGCCTCGCCTCAGCCTCAGCCTGCCTCAGCCTCAGCCTGCATCAGCCTCAGCCTCAGCCTCAGCCTGCCTCAGCCTCAGCCTCAGCCTGCCTCAGCCTCAGCCTGCCTCAGCCTCAGCCTCAGCCTGCCTCGGCGTGCCTCAGCTTCAGCCTCAGCCTGCCTCGGCCTCAGCCTGCCTCGGCCTCAGCCTGCCTCAGCTCCGGCATTCAAAATATGGCACAGGGCTGTTTTGGGAACACGAAGATCACGAAGAGGCCCACAGTTGGCTCCGGCCAATCAAAATATGGTACATGAATGGTGTTCCGGGAAGACGAAGAACACGAAGTGGCCTACAGTTGGCCCCGGGCATTCAAAATGTGGCCTGGTAAAGGTGTTCTGGGAACACGAAGAACACGAAGTGGCCTACAGTTGGCTCCGGGCATTCAAAATGTGGCCTGGGAACGGTGTTCTGGGAAGACGAAGAACACGAAGTGGCCTACAGTTGGCTCCGGGCATTCAGAATGTGGCCTGGGAATGGTACTCTGGGAACACGAAGAACACGAAGTGGCCTACAGTTGGCTCGGGGCATTCAAAATGTGGCCTGGGAATGGTGCTCTGGGAACACGAAGAAGACGAAGTGGCCTACAGTTGGCTCGGGGCATTCAAAATGTGTCCTGGGAATGGTGCTCTGGGAATGGATTCCTAAGAATTCCTAAGGATTCCTGGGGCTGCGCTTTTGTCCGGATCTGTCCCGATCCCGGATCCGGATCCCGCCCAGACCCCCTTGGGGCGTCAAGATGTTCTCTTTTGAGCCCACTAGAAACCTATCAGCAAAAGCTGTTAGGTAAAATCGTCAAATCAATCGTCCTCAGACTATGTCTTGACTATGTTTGACCATGTTGGAGCATTTGTTGCTGATTTTCTTGGTCTCCGTCCAATCCTCCTGTGCGGGGGCACCTCATGGGCGGCCGACGCCAAACAGCCTGCGCGGCCTGCGCTGCAGTCAGCCCGCACAGTGAGGATGCGCCACCTTTCCAAGGGTACCTCTGCATCCTTCCTTATCGCGCATCCTTATGATACGGGCCGGCTGTCCATGTTAAGGCCGCGACCATCCGAGAGTTGTGCGATCCACGCTGATGGGCCTGTTTTCCACCACCGCCACCACCATAAGTTGCCTTCACCTCCTCCTCCGCCTCCTTCTCTTTGTCCTCCCCTCCTTCTCCTCCTCCTCCTCCTCCTCCTCCTCCTTCCCCTCTCCAGCTTATGGTGGTGGTAGTGGAAAACAGGCCCATCACAGGCGACGTCAGATCCCAACGCCGACGCCATCGCGCCTTGAGCGACGCAGAGGAGCGGGTCCAGCTGCGCGGGCATCTGCGCGCAAGCTGCCCGCGTGAGGTCGCGCCGCGCGATACACTCGCCCTCGCTGGCAATGTAGCGCGCCGCGGTGGCGGCCCGCGTAAGCCACCGCGTAAGCTCGCTATGCCATCTTGCGTTAAATCGGGCCTATCCCTCTACAGGACGACTATTCGAAAATAGTCAAAACATAGTCTAGGGACGACGTTTGACCATGTTCGAGCATTTTACGGAATATTGTTTGACTATTGTTTATTGTTCGTTCAATATCCGCTTGTAGGGGGACAGGCCCGACTTAAATCTTGCGTCAGACCCGTTTCTTTTCGTCGCTCAGGTGGACCTGCCGCATTGCCGCGGCCCCCTGGGGCGCCTCCTCAGGCGAGCCGTCGCACCTGCCCGAGCGCGCGGGCGCGCGCGCGCGCTCCGATGGCGCTGCGGGGCGAGGCGGGCTGGGATGCTGCCATGGCGCAGGACTCGTGCCCACCTTCGAGGGGGTGGGGTTAGGGGGGGGGGGGCACGACGGTAGATGGTCTCAAGAGCGCTGGTGCGGGAATGGCGTTTCGCCAGAGGGCTCGGCTTGCGGTTGAGAAGAAAAATCAGCGTAAGGGTCCCACAGGGGGGACGGGCAGCCCGAGGTCGCCTGGTCCGCCAGCGGTTTCGCCCGAGATGCCTTCGCATGCTCTGACGGGAAGCTCACCACCCACCAAACCACCCCAACCCAACCCGAAGGTTCAGATTTACCCTCGATTTCCAGTGGGGGGGGGTCGGGAAACGTCGAAAAAACACGTGTGGAACCCTTACCCCCCCCCCAACCCGAAATTCGGGTCTTCGGGTTGGGTTGGGGTGGTCTGGCAGGTAGTCAGAAGCGTGCTCTCGCTTCAATGCTGGCTACAAGTTTGGTCCGGACGGCCACAATCCCTTTAAGTAAGGAGGTGCACCACGGTGCACATACGTGGTAGTCGTGTTCTTTGTTCACTGTTTTGCCGATCGGCGCGGGCCTTCGCACGCCCCCCGTTCTCCCCCCCCCGTGGAGTTGGCTGTTTTTTGGCGCTTGTTTCAAGCAGCAGGAGCTTCTCCAATAGGACGCATTGTTGCAAACAGTCGCAGTAAGCAGAGGTCTGGGGCCAGACCCCCCCCCCCTCACATGGACGTGCCCTCACCCCTGACTTAGGGTGCTTTGTTGGGGGTAATTTGTTATTAATTTGAATACCAACGGTTTTTGTCAGCTGTTTGGCACTGCTTCTGTTTCTTTTTCGGGCTCGCGATCGGCCCGTGGCCAACAGGTTCCTTCGGTTTTCATTGCGAGGCCCGCTTTCTGGGGTGGCGTCGTTAAAACGCTTGGCATGGAGCGGAAAGTGAAGAACAACAAATAATGTCCCCAGCGTTTCCAGACCCCATTTTACCGTCGCGGAACTAGTCAGGGCGGAAGGTGTTTTTTGGCGCAGCCCGACTTGTGTTCGCAAAGTAAATTGGCTGCTGCCTGACTGCCAACCGTCGACGGCGACGGCGACGGCGACGGCGACGGCGACGGCGACGGCAACGGCGACGACGACGACGACGACGACGACTGCGGCGGTGCTGCCGCGGAATCGGCGAGGCAGTGGCGATGAGGACCAGGGCCAGGAATTTCAATTGGAGTGCCACCGCGATCGGAGTGTGGCGGTCGGAGCGCAGACGGAGCGCAGTCGGAGCGCATCCAGAGCGCACCCGCGGAGCGCATCCGGAGAGTGCCACCGAAACGTGCCACCAGAGCGCAGTCGTTACACTCAATGGGAGCGCAGTCGAGGCGCAACCGGAGTGCAATCAGAGCAATCGGGGCGTCATCGGTAGGGGAACGACAAGTAGCATAAACATAAAAATTCGGAGGTCCGCGCGGATGTCTCGGATCGGCGCTGAGACCCCTGTGGCGGCGCCTCCGGCACCGCCCCTGGCGCGCTTCGCGCGCCAGCGCCGATCCGAGAAATCTGCGCGACCTCCGAGTTTGTATGTTTATGCCATTCTTCGTTCCCCTAATCGGGGGGTAACTGGAGGAGGAGAGCGGACGACGACGACCCGCCGGCGGGAGTGCAACCAGAACGCGCCACCGGACTGCAGTCGTTACGCAATGGGAGCGCAGTCGAGGCGCAGTGCATTCGGAGAGCAATCGGGGCGTCATCGGGGCGTACCTTTTTGAGTCGGACCTGTCCCTCTAAGGGAGGAGGAATCAAAATAGTGAAACGATAGACTGGGGACGATTTCCTCAATATTTTCCCCAATCGGAGCTTGCCTCTGTAGTAGGGGTCCTAGCGGATTCATACGGTTAGGTTAGGTTTGCCGCCGATTTTCGCCGCACGCCCGGGTGCCCGGGTGCCCAGGGGTGCCCGGGTGCCCGGGTTCCCGGGTGCCTGGGCGTGCCTGGGGGTGCCCGGGTGCCCGGGGGTGCCCTATAGCCCTACAGCCCAATAACCCTGTGGCCCTATAGCCCATATAGCCATTACCCCAGTGCGACCCTACCTAGAAGTTGGAGCCCCTAGGAAAGCAGCATTAGTTGCTATGCTATGCTATGCCATGCTATGCTGCGCTATGCTATGCTATGCTATGCTATGCTATGCTGCGCTATGCTCTGCTATGCTATGCTGCGCTATGCTGTGCTGCGCTATGCTGTGCTATGCTATGCTATGCTATGCGATGCTGCGCTATGTTATGCTATGATGGGCTATGCTATAAGATGCTATGATGCGCTATGTTATGCTACGCTATGCTATGCTATGCTATTATGTGCTCTGCTATGTTAAAGCTCAGCGAAGCTAAGATGAAGGTAAGCTAAGCTAAGACACATCTGAGCTAAGATGAAGCTAAGTTAAGCTAAGATGACATAAGCTAAGCTATGATGAGATACGCAACGCTAAGCTAAGGGGACGTAACTGGGGGAACCGCGAGGCGGATGCTGGGAGAACCGCCTGGGCCGGTTCCCACTGCCCGGCCCTTTAAGCCAAGAGAGTAAGAACCCTTCTAGGCAGAGCCTAAGTAGGGAATATAGCCCAATGGCCCATATAGCGCCCAAGAGCTCATATAGCCCTGTAGCCCTATAGCCCTACAGCCCTAAAAGTATTATGATTGGGGTTTTTCTCCGGTATCATTTTGAGCACGCTTGAGCATTTTTGGAGTCTGTTGAATGTTTCTTCCAAAATCCGCATGTAGGAGGACACGCCCGACCTAAGCGTACCTGGAGGAGGAACGGACCCCAGACCCCCGACGTCATGATTGGCTCATTACGCGACCCCCAGTGGTCCGGACCCATTCGCCGGGACCAGCTTCTCATCCGGAGCCGTTGTTTGACGGTCCCGAGGGCCGGTATAAGGGCCCCCAGAGGCCGAAAATATAGAGAAACCTCTCGTCGTGATTTCTTCATGCCTCGAGGGGGTCTGGGGCGACGGCGACCCGCCGGCGGCAGGAGTTCGGGGCGGACCGCTGGGCCGCGTCGCGGCCTCGGGTGCTCGGCCTCGGGCCGGCGCGCGCGCCAGCGCCAGCCCCGCGGGGCAGGGCAGGGCCCGCACGCCTTGGCCTTCTAGGTCCGGGGGTGGACAGAACCCCCAACAGTGACACGTCGAGTAGTGAATTGTCCGTTTTCGGTTCTCGAGAGGGCGCCGCGGCCGTTATTTTCCAGGCTTGCGCCCGCCAGGTTTGGGCCTCAGGTCGTTTTCACTAAACCACGTTTTGCTAAAGGGAGGTCTGTCAATCCCCGATAGGTCGGGCCCTCCACGGGAGGAGTCTTCAGACATTGTGGAAAAGTGGGGACGGTGTTTTGTTGTACTCTTTTTGCTCATCTGGAGGGTATTGTTTGACTACTTTTTATTGTTCCTCCAGAATCCCCCTGTATAGGGGGGCACGCCCGAACTCTTGGCCCCGGATCCGCCGCATAGTTTGGGCGACTTCATGACCCAGACCCCCTCGAGCACAGAACAAAAAAAACACGACGGAGGGTTTTTCGCGATTTTCGGCCTCTGGCGGCCCTTCCCGGGCCTCGGGGCTGGCAGAAAAGAGCGAACACAGGATGGAAAACCGGTCCCGGCGAATGGATCCAGACCTCTGGGGGTCGCGCCATGAAGAAATCATGACGTCGGGGGTCTGGGAAGCAGGGCGGAAGTTCCCGCTCTGCTTTTCACGCCCCTCTGATGACGACGTCCGCCCTGCCTTGCCGTCGCTAGATCCGCCATGCCTCTGCGGAAGTATCCGCCCACTTTGCTGAGGCGGAGGTTTCCGCGCATCGCTTGGGCCCCGACACCCGACGGCGGCCCAACAAAAAATTAGACATCGTAGAAAATCACAACCAAGATGCCAGGATCTCAGCGGGTTGCATTCCCGCTCCCATTTTCGATCGGGAAGTTCGCCCAAGTGTGCCGGATCTGAAGTCGGCGCGGTCCCCTCCAATAGCCTTGACATCTGACGTCGCAAAACATGCAACATCGCAAAAAGTCACCACCCGAGCCCCGGCCCCCATTTATCTATGCCATTTTTCGAGCTGGATCGATATGTGAGGGCCCCAGGGACTGAACTCGGAAACAGTGTCAGGTGGGTGCATTTCCGATACCATTCTCATCAAGGGAGGAAAAACCACCCAGACCCGATAGTTGGTGTTTACTCAACGGCCCCGGGCGTTTATCAAACAGCCCTGCCCTGTTCGACTCCTTCTGTGGGTGCGTTTACTAACCGGCTTCGCGTGTCGGGGTGCTTATGATGGGGGTAAATATTTTGCCTTCTACTTCAATCGGAAAACCGGCCCAAGTGCGGATGAACTGAAGCCGGCGTGGTTTATTCCAATCTGCTTTAACCACGGCGTGCAGGGCTGGAGGCTGGCGCCGGCTACGCGACAGTGCCCGGCCGTGCTGGGCAGGGCCTGCAGGAGGGGCCTCGACATCCGGGATATTGTTTTGGGACCGCGCGTTTTCGCCCAGCTTCGAGCCCCGGGGTTCTCGATCCGCCGCGAACCCTGCCTGGCCCTTCCGAAAGGAGCCCATCCGGCGCGCCGAATGGACTCCATCGAGCGCGCGGCATGGGAGATGCCAACAAACCGACGCCCCCCAAAAATGGAGTCCATCCGGCGCCGAATGGACTCTCGGGATTAGAGCCCATCCGGCGACAAAGGAGTCCATCCGGCGTAAAACAGAGTCCATCCGGAGAACCGATAGAATCCATCCGGCTGCGTTAGAGTCCATCCGGCGCCAAGTTAGAGACCATCCGGCGGCATTAGAGCCCATCCGGCTTGCAAAATTACCATCATGGCATCCGAGTCCATTCGGCGAATAGCCCCGTTGTGCGCGCTGCTTGCACATCCCCTCGACCCCTCGACCCCGCGCCCCATGCCACCCACAACCTTCTCACCCCGCCACCCCGCGACCCTATCCCGTGACCACAAGTCCTCACGACCCCGCGACCCCACCGCCCACCACATCACCGCCATGTCACCCCGCTGCCCCACGAACCCGCGACATCACGCCACTGCCTCGAGACCCCGCTGCTCCGCAACCCCGCAGCCCCACCGCCCCGCCACGCCACCGCCTCAGCGGATCCTTAGGATCCTTCTCCCCAGGAAAATCCTTGGGATCATTGCGGATCCCTGGCGGATCCAAGGGGGGGCCCACGGATCTTTTGGGATCCTTGACGGAACCCTGAGGGAACCTTTGGGATCCGTGGGGATGTTTCGCTGTTCCCTAAGGAAAGCCTCAGGATCCTTTGGGATCTTTAGCGCGGCCCCCAGGAATACCATAAAGATCTAGGGATCCTTAATCCAGAAGCCGCATTAAAGTGATCATTGAGGCCCTCTGTGACAGAGGGGGTGTTTTTCGGAGGCCCTCTGTGACAGAGGGGGTGCGTTCGGAGGCCCTCTGTGACAGAGGGGGTGCGTTCGGAGGCTCTCTGCGACAGAGTTGCTCGTCATCCCGTTCCTCGTCATCCTGCTTCTTGATTTCGGATTTGTCATGCTACCACTGCGCTCATCATCTTTGCGTCTGTGATCCTCGTCGTGTTTTTCCATGCGTCCTTTTCACAATTTCCACCACATTATCCTCCGTTGCCGTTCTGGCCCGCCATCTACCTCGTCACTCTCCTTCGTCTGCATGTCCTTATTCTTTTCCGCTCTTTTTTCGCCTCCCCTCTGGTTCGATTTCCGCTCTTCGTCCACTTCGTTCATTCGTTTCCAACCCCCCTTCCTTTCAAGTTCTCCGCCGTCCAATCACGTCGCGTCGTCCGCCGCCGCTATGCTCAAACCATCCCGCGCCCGTGGGATCGCCCGCGAGCACCGGTGCAGCTGGGCCCGTCGCGGCCTAACGCGCGCCTGCGCCATCGTCTTGCAATGGGCGATGCAGGCGGATACACATGGGATGGCGCGGGAGGATGGTGGGATAGCCGCAGCAGCGGCTGGCGTGGCTGGGAGGACGGCCATGATTGGTCAGCGAGGGGTTGGAGAGACTGGCGACAAGACGGGCACACGCCAACGGAGGACGCCAAATTGCGCGATGGCCCTGCCGCCGCAGCAGCGGCGGCGGTCTCGCCTCAACGGCCGTCTCGCTTCGCCGCGCTTAGCGTTGTGAGCCCCCGCGCCCCTGGTCTCGGCATGCCCGAATTCGATATCTTCGTGAGGGCTGCCCTCCGAAACGTACCAGAACCTGGGAACGCAGTTTCAGGAGAGGGGTCGGGATCCCGAGCCGCGCCTGCGGCGCAGGAGCCCCGCGCCACCGCAGCGGCGGCGGCGCGCGGGCCCCAGGATTTTGAGAAGTTTGATGTTAATTATTTTTTGAGTTATGAAGAGAGGCTCGGCACTTCGTTTCAGCAACACAATCAAGCGTTGAAATGGTGGCGCCATCTGAATGAAGACCCAACTGCCCCGTTCGAGTCAGAAGCCAAGTGGTTTGACAATGCGGAGCCCACCATGGTCGCTGTTTGCGACCACGGTGCGAGGACGAGCTTTGGTTTCAAAAGCGACGAGGAAGTCCCTTGGCGGTGGCAAGAGATGGTGGCGACGCTCAGGGAGGAAGATATCAGGGAGGTCGTGGAGGGGCCCCGCAGCAGCGGGGCTCTGATCGGCTGTTCCCTCGAAGTCCGGCCAAACAGCTACGACCACATGCGTCAGAGTATTGTGCGCGCGCGACAGTTCGCGGGGCAGCGGGTGAAAGTGAAGCTGCCGATGTGGGATTTCGTGTTGCACCGCGACGACGGGACAGGCGTCCGTTTACACCCGCACTGGGGCGACAGGAAGGTCGAAGCTCTGCCCCTCGTCCCCCACGCGGACACGGTGAGGCCACCAACCGCGGGTTTGGGCGGGAGCGACGGGTCAGGAACTTTTCGCTGGTACAAGGACCTCGGTGTGGAGCGTAAGGTCAAGTTCGACGCCGCCAGAGAGAAGGGGAGGCCGACGCCCTCTCAGGGGCCCCGCAGCAGCGGGGCCGCGGCGTCCAGCACCAGGCCCTCGGCGTCCGCAGCAGCGGGTGGCAAACAGTAGTTTTGGGACCGAATAACTCCCCAGACGATTTGGTTTCGGAGTAGATGGCTCCGCAGCAGCAGCGGGGCTCGAATGAAGGGCGCGTTGCATTTCTGCAGGGGCGCGCGCGTCGGCCGCCGAGATCGGGGGCGCGCGTGCAGGCGCCGTGGCGCGATCTTCGTTAAGAAGTCTTCCCTCTCCTCCCTGCCCCCCCATCCCGCCGCCCTCGACGTCGGCTCCTCGCCGCCCGTTCCTCGTCGCTTCACGCCTGTTCGTTCTCCTCCAATTTCCTTTCCCGCTTCCTCGTTCTCTCCTTCCCATTTTTCCCTCCATCCCATTGCATCCCTGGCACCCCAGCGAAGTTCGCAGCTCGAAGTTTGAAGTTCGGAGTTCGGAGGTCGCAGTTTGAATTTCGAAGCTTCGCACTTCGAGGTTCGATCTTCGAACCTTCGTCATCTCGTCGTCGTAATCGTCGTCCTCGTTCGTCGTCGTCGTTCCTCGTCGGCGTCGATTGTCGTTGTCGTCGTCGCTCGTTGTCGTCGTCGCCGTCGTCGTCGTGGTCGGCGTCGTCGTCGTCGGTCGTCGTCGTCGCTAGTCGTCGTCGCTGGTCGCCGTCGTGGTCATCGTCCTCGTCGTCGTCGTCGTGGTCGTCGTCGCCCTCGTTGTCGCCGTCGTGGTCATCGTCGTCGTCGTTGTCGTGAAACGCCCCACGTAGGAGGAGCAGAGAAGGGAGTAAGGAGAAATGAGCACGGTGGAGGGAGGAGGGAGGATTGAACAGGAAGAGGAGGGTGCAGATGGAGGTAGAAGGGATGAGGTAGTTCAGAAGTGGGAGCAGCAGACTGGCGCAATGGGAAAAGCCACGTGAGTGCAGGGAGGGATGGAAATGCGATAAAGTGAAGCCGCAGCCGTTGCAGGTCTGCCTCCCGCCGCGCCCGCCCGCCTCCGCGACTGGAGCCGCGCAGGAGCCTCTGCCGAAGTCTCCGCAGCAGCGGGGACTGCCAGA